GTCGCATGTTGAAGTAAATTTTCCCATAAGGTTCAATGTAATTACCGTTAATCCATTCCGGCGTCTGCGGACCATGCGTCAGGGGCGGGAAAACGGCCGCTGACCACGCGGCAGGGCAGAAAAATGGCCACGGACCACGTGTCAGGCAGAAAAATGGCCACGGACCACGTGGCAGGGGTGGAAAAATGGCCGTGGACCACGTGGAACGGGCGGAAAATGGCCACGGATCTGGTTCGTAAGTCGAGGCGAGTTCATAAGTAGAGGTAAATTTTTGATCGTATCTCGAAAAATTCGTAAGTAGGGGCATTCGTAAGTAGAGGTACCACTGTATATAAGTCTGTGGAGACCTTGAAACTTTTTTTTTGCCCCTTGAGACTTAAGGAATACTTTCAAGACAAGAACCAGGAACCAGACATATGGCCATTGTCAACCTAGCGCATCTTAGGACAAAACACAACTACAGATCACAGCAAATTCCACGTGCATTAAAAAAAAAATGTGGTTGCTCCCAGATGAACATAACACTGAGTTGGATTTCTACACGGGATGCTTTTGCCAACAAGCTCAAGCTGCAATTACCAATTTAAAAAACTTCCCTTAGTAACAATTCAGCAGGGCAGAACGAGGTGCCATCTAAAGCCACAACAACAACAACATCATAATCAGACAAGCTGACAAACCAGGCAGTCTGGGTTGTCCCATTGTTTCAAGCATTGGAACCATCACAGCTAGAATATTGGGTTTTATGGACTCAGTACTTAGACGTGATGCCTTCACTGCTCCCAGTTATATAAGAAACCCCATAGACTTCCTAAGAAAACTGAAATCTGTGACAACACCATATGTCCATTTATTTTTGTTTTATTAGAAATCTAAATGGATTTTCAGTCAAAGATAGACGTTTTTGTTTAATTAAACATTAGTAATTTTTAATATAATTGTTTGTATCTGTTTCTTAACACATCCTTTCTAGGTTTCAGCCATTCAAAAGCAAATTGCCTCACCTCTTGTGTAAAACCAAGTGATTTGGACGATCAAGCTTGCAAAATGGATTTAATCCCTCTCAAAACATTCAGATTAATCTAGATAATTCTGGATAACTCTCAAAACTAATTTTATATTGTCACAAAAACATTTCTCCCATGCAGTATTGCAATCTATTTTCAAAATCCCTTGTGCTCTGTATTTTACTAAAGCTTCTTTTCTCCCATTCTACAGTCTAAATGTCCAGCAGAGAACACAGATAGCTCGGGAAAAACAGCTTTACACTATGCAGGTATTACATAATCTTCTTGCTTCCATACATTAGCATAAATCTAGTATAATTTGTGCTTTCTACTTAAAGTTCAGTAAGAACTCTGGCAAACAAGAAGGGTAGGACTGAACTGACTAAATCAGGTCACTAATTATTTTGATTGCTTTCATTATATTCACATAATAAAGACATAGTTGAATGGGCTT